GTAGGCACACGTGAATGCTGTCTGTATTGGGCAGAACGGCCAGAGGTCTCCAGGCAGACGCCTGAAGTGGTGAAACATGCTGCTTTTTTCTGTGGTTTATTTTTGTTTAGTCGCAAAAAACAAGCCTAGGGATCCTGACTCATAGTGGAGCATGGAGCTGGGACCATTGGACTTCGGGAGAGGAAAACGGCTCAGCTCGTTCACTCAGTTTTTCAGGAGGTTTTAGCTTATCTGGATCCGAAAGAGATGGCATTTGTCTCCATTATGTTGTTAACTTCATGTGACTGAAACATCTAATTTGGGTCCAGTGTTAATTCCTGGAATTCTCTGTGAGGTACTCAACTATGTTAGTTACATACCCTTACTTAAACCAAAATGATGCTGAAGAGAGATGGTAGCTGGCAAGTATGTAGAAGATGTGGAGATGAATGATGAGTAGGACCAAGGCAGAGTGCCTTGCATCGTATCCTGTAGCATTGAGCTTCACCAGCTTCTAGTGGTGGGGCTGAAATTAAAACTTGCAGAAGCACATTCAGCAGCTGCTGTCTCTGTGGGTGCAGGTAAAGCAGCTGCCCACCTTTCCTTACCAGGTGAGAAATGCAACAGTTTGAATAAAGGAAATGGAGTTCCTGATTAATCACAAAAGTTGGAAAAGAAAACTCAAACTGCTTTACTGTCACTGCTGAGAGCACTCAGCTGTGTTGCTTGTTTCAGTTTTCTCAGAATCAATAACCAAATGAGTGCCAGTCCGGTAGCAGGTAGCCCTGAAGGGGCAAGAAGTCTTTGCCGGTAGAGAAACAACTGTTTAGACCAAACTTCTGAATAAAATAATCTCTGGTTGTATTAATGTGTGTTAAGTTTTTTTCACAGTGCCCCCGCAGGGGCTGGCTCTTAACCCCACTACAGTAACCCCTCTGCTTATGGAGATAGTTGTAGAGGTGAGAGCAGAGGGCTGAAGACGGGAAGTGATACCTGTGAAGCTGGTCTCCTTCCAAAGAGACATACCCATCTGTGTCTTCCTTGGTGACACTGCTCTCGCTTTGGCAGTGAGGTTTCTGGATCTACGTCCCTGGGTGCCTGAAGGCTGGAAGCGTGTTTCTGGCGTGGCTTCTCACAGAAGGAAACACAATGGAGTGAGGGGATTAACTGGATGGCTTAGGGGAGAGACAATTCTGAAAAAACGTGTAATAAGTGACACAATGTGATGAGATTTGAATATTGATTTGGGCACCGTGCATCGTTAGTGACTCTGGTACTGTCATTCTCTGCTGTCAAGTTAGGAACAAAGCTCAGCCTGGATGAGGGGAGGTCTTGCTGCCTGGTGCTAGCTGCTGCCAGATACCGGGGTCTGGGTGCCTTGGTGGGAAGGTTTGTCAGGGGAAGTGTAGAGGCACAGATGCCTGGAGGTGCCTCCTGATGGTTCTGGAGAGCAGCAGCCAGGTAAGGGCTCTGATCCTGAAGAGCCGTCAGTCACCCACACAGCAGCCGGGGCCTCGCACTCTGCCTGCAAATGGCTGGAGACCTGGTGGCATGAGAAGGTGCAGCTGTGGTCGCTGCCTTGTTTTGAGGGCGACTTCTTTCTGGGATCTGCCTGTCAGGCAGCAGGAGCTGCAGCGTGCCCCGAGGCCCTCTTCAGCCACCCTTGTGGCTCCTGCAGTGGCTTGGTGCTGCTGGAGCAGCCCTGCACAGTGCAGGTCATCAGCACCTCTTCCATGTGGCCTCTGGCTGGGCAGTTCTGTGCTTGGGGGCCCAACGGCATCTGCCGGCAGTGCTGGAGGACAGCTATGTCAACAGGCCAGGTTTGGAGGGGATCTTGTACTGATTCCCAGCCCCACTTCATCTTTTACAATCAAATGAAGGGGTGTTTTGATCACATTTACTTTAAAAACGATTTTACCAGAGTTCTGTAGTAAATTGAATTTTATTTTAAATAATGTAAATTATTAAAAAAACAATCATCTGCTGTGAGCATTAATAGTCACTGTTGCACCGGAGTACAAAAGTGAACCCATTTTAGTTCTGTGTTTATTGGATTGTATGTGGCCAGGCTCTCTTAGTCTCTTAGACAAGCTGTAATGACAAACAGTTTCACAACTTTCCCCAAGTTGAAACGAAAACCATTCCTATGAGATGTTGGTGCAGTATCAAACAGCAGGAAAGGGATGGCACTTTTAAAATGCTCATTTAGCATACTTTCACACGAGAATTAAAGCAGCATCTAGGTAATAACCTTAAGAGGGAGAGAAAAATGTTACCATTCTTGACAACAGTGTTGGTAGTTTCCATTGCATACTAGGAGCCCAGTTTTGGTATCTCCTGGGCATGCAGCACTTCAGGCATGTCCGTAGTCCTGTTACTGTGCAAGAGTGGGTGGATTTTCATAGTCGGGGCTGCTTTTTTAAAATTTATTTAAACTTTAGCCAAGTCTTATGTTCAGTAGGAAAAAGTAAAATTCTGAGAACAGAATGATAATGAAATCTTACAGTTAACAGTGTATAGTCTTGTGGGTTGGCTGGAAGGCTCCAGGTTAAAAAAGATTTTAAAAGGCTTTAAAAAGACCTTGGAAAACAGCTTTTTTCTTGTTGTTTTGTTTGTCATTTCTCAGTGTTCCTGGCCGTTCCTCCAGGGAGCGAATAGTTCCTGCTCTGGGAGCTTGCACTGGGGCTCAGATCTGCCAGACAGACTTGCCTTTTTCACAGTAGACAGGACTGGAATCACAGTCCAAAGTGCCAAATTTAGTAGCTGACTTACCTCCCATCTCCTCTGCTTAGGGAGATTTTTGGTCACTCATCTGTCTTGTTACAACTACCTCTGAAAATACCGAGGTTAGGCATGGCCCTGTTGGTTGTGTGAATGGTTCCTCCTTGTGTGTTGCTTTAGAAATGGCCAACTTGGGTAAGAGACTGAAAATGCCTGTGAATGTACTTTGCTGAGCTGCTCTTTAAAAAAGCTGAAAGTACAATTGACTGATACTCATCTCCCAAACATCAAGGTAGGTGGAGGGGAGGTTTTCTTCCCTAGCTGGGCATCTCATTTTCCCGTGACCTGTACATTCATTCCACAGTCCTACCTTTTCCTTGGCTCCAAACAAAGTTGCAAAACTCCTCAGCAGCTCCCCCGTCACCCTGTTTTCTGTATGCTCACTGAGAAAGTGCTGGGGAAACTATCGTAAGTCCTCACATCTATTTATGCTGGCAGGAGGTACAAGGGCTATCCAACTGCCACGTGTTCTCTTCACCGTATGCACAGGAAAGCTCTCCCTGGCCCCAGGAGTTGGAGGGAGGCTTTCTGAGATTTGCTTTATTTAGGCTAGCTCGGTTTAATGCCTGCTTTTCCTTCTATGGTTTCAAGAAGACGCCAGGTGTCCCACTGCTGTATAGCTCTCTGATGGCTGTCAAGCACCACTGCTCTGTGCTGTGCACAAATACCAAAATAATGCTGACATCAAGAGCCTTGCTCCTGGAAGCCTCATTTCTCTGGGCGAGGAAGGCTTTTAAAATGGGAGCTGTGAGACTTGGGTTCAGGTGTGACTTGTGGCTAGCCTGTAACCTGGACACAGGAACCATCCTGAGAGCCATCAACTCAGGCCCTGGAGGGACTCTGCTGCACAGAGTAATCCAGTGTCAATTGCAAGATGGAGGGTAACCAGTGCTAAAAAAAATAATCCCAACAGTCAGGGCACTAATGTAGGACTTCTAATACCAGTCCTCCTCTTGTGTTTCTGTTCCCCAGGGCTTTGCTGTGTGACATTCCTGGGAGTGTTTGCACCAAATACACAACCCAGATAGCTGAGTGTCGCTGCAATTACTTTATTGCTGCTCAGCCCAACCTGGGCTCCTCAGGGTAACTGTAGAAGCAGGCAGTAAAATCTACAGCTGGTCAGACAGCACTGTTCCTCTACCCTTGGTATTTCTGGCTACTGAGCTGGCTTTGACTGAGGTACTACAGGCATTACTGAGAAGACACTGAGATGGCCAAATGTGCTGCAGGAGTCCTAATTTTGGAGTGGGAGTGCTCACGCAGCATGGTGTCAGCTGAGAGTGTTTCAGGGTCATTTGTGGCTTCAGCGAGTGGACTTGTCTTGTGGTTTAGATGTGATGCATGCAGCACTGGAGCTTTTGCAGGACCAGCTGATCATTCTGTAGTTCTCGATTCAAATACCAGCTTCATATAACGGCACTCTTAGCAACTTCTGAAAGCCTACTACCTCTAACCAGACCCTCTTTTGATGTGGAAAATCAATTCTGTCATCCTGGACAATGAGCACACTACAGCTGTGCCATAGTGCAGAGATCAGACATTGTAGGGGGTAAGCTGTTGGCCTCTCACTGTTGGCAGCAGTATGAAACCCACATGCTTATTAACATGCTAGATGAACCTTTGGTACAATGTCCCTACTAAACTAGCCATTGCCTGTGACTTAAGCCACCTCTTTCTGGAGCTCTGGAGTGTTCGTCCCAAGCAACGAACAAACGTGACAATAGCCTTCCTTCTTCTGAAAGCGACAGCACTTCTTGTCCTGCCTTGACTTCCATTTACTTACAGTCTAGTTAGTGTAATTAACAAAGAGTGGCTCCCTCTCTTTCCTGGCTTCTGGTGGCAAATGTTTCTGGGTAGCTTTTGAGCATTTCTGTTCAGACCTGCATCTGGCTTCAAAGTGGTTTTTTGTTGCCTCTCATTTTCTTGGCAGCACTTTAACATGTGAGAAGCTGCTATGAATACTGTGGACAGGACTGCCTGCTGCTTGGTGAGGTATTTAAAGGCTGCTAAATTGTTATTTTTAATGTGGCTTATTGGTATTAAAGCAATACAAAACCTGGTGGTGCCAAGAAGTGATCTCTCATTTACTCAGAATTCTCTCCATCCTTATCTAAAATATACACTAATCACAAACATCAAACCAAAAGCTATCCCCTACCCACCCACACTCCCCCACATGTAGCAAAACACTGGCTGGCTGTTTCTATAGCTGTTCTTGTGCGTGTGCAAGCAAAGAAGGTCTAAACTGTTGGAGGTGTTTGTAGGGGCATGTCAGTGCCAGGAGAGGCTAAATAGAGCTGAAGCTGGGCTCGCATCGTTTGGATACACTTCGACTTCAGTACCAAGACTTCATCCAGCTTGGTCATAAAATCCGGAAAATCCTGTTGAGGAATGAAAAAGGAAAGTTTAGGGAACAGCAGTAGCAGCAGGTTGGAGAAAATCAGCACATTTTATGCACTGCAGCAGTACATAAAAGCATGCTTTCCATTCTGCAGTGTAGTAGATTAAATCAGTGTTTCCTTATTAAAGTCCTGGCCCTCACAGACTGCCTCTAAATACTGAGGTTAACTTAGTCCAGTCGATGTATCTGTTGGTGAAATTACAGCTAACACAATGGTTTAAAAGTAAAAATAAAAATGTATAAAGCACCTGTTATCACCCTTCTACACAGATTAGCTTTTCAAAGGTTTCGTATAGGGACTGGTCATCTGGTGTGCAGTTTTACAATGTACTGCACTCTCTTCCTGACACCTCGTGTTGGTTCTAGCAATCGTGAAGATAATGGTGAGTTGGGCCACTCATTGATCAGACATAATAGCCCATTCTTGGGAGATGGAAGGGATTATTTCACATCAGGTCACAGGTCAGTCCAACGCCTGCATGGCTACAGGTCTGCTAGATCTGACATGAGAAATATCAGCAGTGTACACAGACTTGGCTGAGGGGAACTCTACCTTCCATAGCAACCTGCCACACGGATAAACTGTGATATGAAACCGTGATTAAACCTGAAATGGAGGCAGTTGTTTTTAAGCAGGGCTTATATTAATAAGGGAACACTCAGACTTGCTCTGCTTTCCAGCTGAGGAGAGCAGGTTCACAGGTCAGTGTCTAAGATGCTGGGAGGTGTCAGCATCCTCAGGGCTAGGGACTTCAGACACCACCACATGAAAATCATTCAAAAGCTTATTTGGCAGGACTCCAGCTATGTATCTCGTGCACTGTATCTTTGTCTTGCAGGGACATCGGGACTGTAATGAAGACGAGCCCAGCTGCCGTGGCATATTTCTCTTAAGCACTTTAAATACTGCTTCGTTCATTACGTGGCCAGCCTTGGCAGGAGTCTCTCCTGTGGCCAAAGTTTCATGGCTGGAGAGGATGCAACCATCCAAAATTGGAAGGAGAGGAACTGATACGGGAAGTCTAGGCTGAGTTCATTGCCCAAAGAAAGGTCATGCTGTGAAGTAACACCACAGGATGTAAGTTATCCACACACTGCTGGGAGATCTGGCAAGCTTGTCATAATTCTGCTAGCCAGAAAATGATTGCTTGCAGCAAGGGGCAAATAAATGGGAGGGGAGTGTTGGTGTCCAATAGACTTAGGAAGAACAATCTGAAAAGACTTTAAAAAAAATAAAAAGATTGTTTTGTATCACTGCATTCTCTGTCACAAAACTAATACAATTCCTGGCTCTTGCGCTGCTTTGTGACCTTCTATATGGTATCATATAGATATCTGGTAACATATCACATGCAGCTGGGAATCACAGCAAAGAAGCCACATGGTGGCTCCATTCTGAAATCCCTGAGGCAAGGGTCCCTGTAGCTGTATTTCAGAGCTGAGCTGTGATAGGAATTGAAATGGTTTGATAATGTAATAATGGAGCTTGGGTTTATTGATAAGATGAGGGAACTGGGAAGGCAGGAGGTTCTCACCAGGAAATGTTAACAGTGTGGGTAAGAGATGAGACTTCTCACACAGCTGTGACATGCATCTATCTGGATGCAGGAGAAACAGAGAATGGGGATTGCCCAGCTAGCAGTGGGGCCATGCAGGTGCCAGTCTTTAGGTCTAGCCTATACTACTGTCATCTGAGACAAGGATAAGCCAAGAAACACTTGAGTGACAAAAGTCAAGAGCCTGTGAGGGCACAAGTCACAGTGGTTAGAGCACTGGAGTGAGAAGGGCCAGGGGTGGCACGTCTGCAGCGTGGTAGGCAAGGGATTCCCAGAAGGAAGAGGCAACGCGGCACTATGCCACCAACTACAACATCCCAGTGTCATGCTTTAGTGTTCTCCGTGGTATTGACTTACTTGCTTCAACCTGTAAGGAGAAAAACGTCACATGGAAAGACACCCTGTTTGGTACAGTCTGGTACCCACGATGCAAAATAAGAGAAAGCTGTTTGTTCAGAGACAAGCAGTTCAGAGTTGGCCCATCAGTCTACTTCTCCCCCAAGGACCTGTCAGTGTGGAGACTGGCAAAGACACAACGGGTACTGAAAATGAGTGGCCTCTCGTAGGACTCGGGAGGCATCAGAGAATGAGAGGAAGGACTGACGAGGAATGTCTTGAATCACTAATTCAAGTTAATAATCTCCAAGATTAATTTATGCAGGTTCAACAGGCACAGAAATCATCATCTGAAACACTTACCGTTGCTGACATCTGATTTATCAAGCACTCTTCCTTGAAGCACAAGGATGCCATTTCATCCAGCTGCTGCTGATGGGCCCGAACTACAGCCTGTCTGTATATAACATAACATATACCACTGGTTACACAGCCTGCTGTGCTACCTATAATTACTGTTGGCCTCAACAAACCTTTAAGAAGGAGGAATACTCCAGAGGAAGCCTTGCTGTCCTGTGTCCCTGGCATTCAGAAAGTGCACACCAGTGCTCCTTGAAGTGCAGTGGACGGCACTAGTTTGGGGTTGAAGATGACCTTGATGACTGAGGATTGCTCAGAGAGGAGTGACCACAGCCTCTCGTTAGCATAGGCAGCACAGGGGCACATAATGCTTTTTACCAGAAAGAAATCTAGGAGCAAAAAAAATTGCCTAATTAATTGGTGAAATGGCTTACAACCATGAGGCTTTAAGTCGTTCTGGTAAAAAGCAGGCAGAGCAGGAAGGCAGTGCTGCTGTTCATTCCTCTGAGCAAGTTTCTCTGACCAACAACATATTTTCAGTCACATGAATGCAGTCCAGTCCTTGGGAGCTGACAGTGGCAGCTCATAGTACTTTGAAGCTTTACATCTACATCTTCTGTGACTGCCCTGCCGCTCTAGCTGTTTTTCTTTCCATAGGGATGGAACAGCTAGTACCTGCTGCTTGATGGGAGGTTTTGATATATTTTAGGTACTCTAAAACTTACAGGAAACCAACTAGTTACTGAGAACTGCAGTTTGTATTATAATATATATTCCTCTAGCATCACCGTAGGAAGCTCTGATAGAATTGGCTTCCTGTGAGACTTTAAAATATCACTGAATAACAAGCAATCAAATATTTATGAGGTAAGGACTATAAATTATCATTAATCTTATTAATTATTTAATAGATTGATTTCCCATCAGTTTTTAAGATACATATGAGTATGATATACAAATAAAGGCAAATGTATCGCATGTCTAGAATTTCTAAGCTTCATAGCAGACTTCAGTGATGAGCAAGACTTACTGTGCCTTTTCTAGAGCTTCCCTCTGCCATTTTCCAGTCTCAGATGTAGCACTTGGAGAGCTGCTGTGGGACATGCCTGAGGGGGTCTTTGCATTTGCTAATGGCTTATTGTCTTTGGTTGCAGATCCTGAATCCGCAGCAATAGTCTCTTGCGTAAAAATACTCTGCATTAGCTTGTTTTTTAGCTCATTGCTGAATGATGACTTGGCTGGCTCTTCAGACTGGCTGAAGTCATCATTCCTCAGTCCTGACTTGGGCTGCAACAGCAGGCTGCTTTCTTGAGAAGAGGACTGAACTGCATAACCTATATTTCCCACACTGAGAAAGCATGGTGCACCTGAATAATAGTTCTTTTCAGGTATATCAGCATTTATTTCCTGAGCCATAAGCTCAACACTAGGTCCTTGATTTGAGTTAGATTTTTCTGAATTACCAGTATTATCTTTAACATCAGCATCACACTGTCTGCCACCTGAGTATTCTTTGCACGTTGAGTTACTGAGAAACAAACCACCCTCCCTCTCTCCCCTGAAGCCTGTGGATTCAGCTGTGGATGTTTTTGTCAGGTCACATCCAACAAATAAACTGTGAACAACTCCTTGCCTTGGTGAACCTGAGCCCAGAAGGCAGCAGCATGGCTTCACATCATGGCTGGCAGGTGAAAGCCACTTGTTCCCTATTTGTGGAGAATGCAGCATGGCACAGTGTCTTCCACCACGACGCATTTGCTCCCCCAGTTCCAGCATGCTGTCCGTCAGAGCTCTGCTTCTTGTACACTGCCAGCCCTCTTCCTCATACCTTTTCTGGGAGCCATGTACGTTCCTGTCTAACATCTGCTTCACTCGGGGGGACTTCTCTTTGTTAGAAGACGCTCTTTCTGTATTAGTTGTTTCCTCATAGTCAAGAAGGGATACTGTGAGAGGGGCCATTAGCTCAGAATTGAATTCTGAAGAACAACTGGAAGATCCACAATGGTTAACTCCATTTTTTTGAGCTTTCCACTTTATGTCTCCTGCAAGGGCACCCTGTCTGTCTAGAGTGCATTCTTCCTTCCCTTCGTGCTGGAGGTCAATTTCTTTGCACTCTGGATTTCCCGATTTCAATACAGAAGAAACATATGGGGTTGAAGCATCCTTTTCTGGAGTTAAGATGGCTTCACTGGAGTAAATGAGACATCTGTGTTTGGATTTGTACTGTCTGTGATCGGCTAGGATATCTTTGCCATTTTTCCAGTTACAAGCAGGATCTTCCTCCAGGCAGTAAGGTTTTTCTGCAGTATTGCTTGGAGAGGACTCAATAGTTAAGTCATAGCTCCAGTCTGATGGAGTTTTGCTGCAGCCTGCATTTTTAATGGCCTCCTCTGTCTTTGGGCTGCCCTCGCTACAATCCCAGCTGTTGTCTAGTTTTTGTTCTTGCATGGGTATTGCATATTTAAAAAATAAATCTTGTCGCTTTTGGCCTTTTTGCTCTTCCCCAGTTCCTTGTTCTCTTTGATGAAGGAAAAATGAATGTTGACTGCATTTGTTGGTGTTTCTTCTTTTCACGCTTTTTTGACTACAGACAGGTGAGAAAGAATCTTCACTGAAATCACTGTCATCCAGATCTTCCAGCTGCATCCCCTCTTTGCTCTGTACTTCTGTGGGAGTAAGGCTCATCTCTGGCTTCACTTTAATCTCCTGGGGCTTGTATTGCATTAGAAACCTGTCAAGAGGTTGATAGTTAAATTTTTGCTGTAGAATAGGTGGCTGCTGAAACTGCTGGTGATAAAGACGTAAATGCTCTTCCCTTTCCTTCTGAAATGGAGGCAGATTTGTCCAGGTTTCAACACACTGTTTAGCAAAGGTGTTCTCCCACTCCTGTCTGCCATTGGAAGGCAGATTTCCATCTCCAAAGGAAAAACCATCTCTAGAAACAAGCTGTTTCTGAACAGGTTGCACTGTCTGGACTTTCAGGCACTGGACAGGTGGTCTGTCTTGCATGTACTTGTCTCTCTGGCTGCTCTCTTTTGTTTCTGCCGTGGCAGCATTTTTGATGATGAAATCCTTCACAGTGGGGTTCTTTTCAGAGTGGGGAGACAGATCATCAGTTTTCTTCTTCAGGGGGTGCGATAGCCGTAGGACTCCCTTAACTGGACTAGCGTGGTGGAACCATGGTGAGCTGGGATTTCCTTTGTAGGCATGTCCTTTGTTGATTCCCCTGGGGGTAGAGGTGAAAGGGACACTTGGTGGCTGGAGTGCTGCAGGACACGCCTTTGTTTTTGTAGCACTTGAAGGATACTGGAGGCCTAGCTTCACTTTCTTTGGAGAGCTCTTTTCCCCAGGTGGCAAAGAGGGAGAGTTTTGGACGCGTTTTGGAGATACGTTTCCAGCTGTCCGACGGCTGTTTGTGATAGGGGTAGAACATTTAATCCCTTTCTTCAGCTCTTTGACCCTGTAAATGATGCTGGCTTTAGAAGATGTCATGCTTTCAGATAAGTAACAGTGTCTTCAGAACAAACTAATGCTTTTACATATTAAGGCTACACACTGAATTCAATGTTATGATTTCTGTTTTAATTGTCAGTGATTCATGCAGGCATCAAAAGCCCTCTGCCAAAATGCTTGAACTTCTGGAAAGGTCTATAGCAGTATTTTGAAGTGCTTCCTTGAACAGTGCATAAAAGGTCGAATGATGAATGAAGACAGCCTCTGTTTCAGTGTAAGGGTGTTGCATTTCCACACTTTATAATACAGCATGGCACAGCGCCAGCTCAAAACAAGGTATTACTCTCCACAGCACATCATAGAGCCCCACAAGACATTAACGAGGGCTTTTGGAGTAGGTGCAGTGGAGTTTATTAGCTCAGGTGATAAGTGTACAGGGCTACAGTGTTTCTGGATCAGACTCATCAGTGCAACTGTGAAGAGCTGCTTACCTGGTGTCACCCTATTCCCTCAGTTGTTCATTTTACTCCTCTTCCCCTTAAGCATCTCTCGTTCTCTTAACCCCAACGTTGCACAGCCTCTAATTTACCCCCTCCTGTGTAGGAGGGAGGGTGAAGGACTTGCACACATTCTAGGCAGAACTAGAATGCAAAACTAAAACAAAATTTTTGATTGTTGAGGTTCGTAATCCTGCAGTTACAGGGACCACAGTGACATTTTCATCACTATAAACATCAGGAAGGATTTACAAGACCCAGAGAATTTCAAGACCAAATATAAGAGTTGGAACAGGTAAGGATTTTATTTGCATTGTGAAAATTGCATTTCTTGCCTAAATCAACATTTGCTAAGCAACCAAAATAAAATGTAACCACAAACTTCATAAATTGCTTTTTTCTTTGTGTTTTTCACCTTTGCAGGATTGAGATTCATCACTTACCTGTCAGCATATCGTAAAGTGTTCAGGGTATGCTCTGTAGCTATGTGGCTAGGTGATACGTTGGCTATCATACACGTCTTGGAATTGCCAATGAAAGAATCCTTTAGTACCTAGGATTGGAAGGAAAAAAAAATAAGACTCTTGGCAATTCATGTACCTTGCATTTCCTGTAAATTAGCAATGTGTACAGAGGCAGTTTAACATGAGTCAGGTAATGCACAGTCACTGTCTTTTTTTTTTTAAATGTAGTTTTCTCAATTTGTCTTGCAATTCCTTGTTTACATTTTAAAATGAATACAAGCATTAATCATCAGGGCTCTGAACAAGCCCTCGCACCTGGTGCCATGAGGGTGCCCATATGTTTTGAGGAATAAATCGTATGTTACAACTGGAATGAAGAAATATTGATGAAATCTCCCATGACTGTTACTGCACAGAAGATGCAAGATTGGTTGCAGAGTGGGTGGAGATGGATGGTAGCTGAATGAGTTTGGAAAGTAGTGTTTGGGGGGTTTGTTTGGTTTTAGTTTTTGGTTTATTTGGTTTTTACCATGCCAGTCCCCAGGACTGACTGGGGGAACTCGCAGCTGGCCTTAATTCTGTGATTACCTTTAAAATTAATGTTTGCCAAAGTTATGCATTTCTCTTTTCTTCAGGAGTTTAATAACAGTTATTGAATTATGCCCTTCTTTTAATTTATTTTTTTTGTCCTCATCAGGGAAGCCTCGACTTTTCTTTCTGCTTGTTTTACCTGAGTTAATTTGCTTTGACGGAAAGGAGTATGCGCATGTTCCTGATCCAATGCCCGAATGCATTCCTTTAGCTACCAAAAGAAAAAAAAAATAAAAACAGAGAAAAACATATCAATCACACACTGGCAAGGAACTGAATTGCATCAAACCTAATCTGCAAATGTACTACTTCTCTCATGCACCTTTGACTCCTACTACGTGATGTCCCTTGCAAGGGAAGTTTGCTGCTGCCACGGCCACAAATGGCCAGCTTCAGCTAGTTCAGGTACCAGCAGCAGTTTAGCTGCACTCAAAGGGGCAAAGCTGCAGCACAGAGCACAGCTAGCCCTACCTGACAGCTCTGCAGGCTATACAAAACCCAAGAAGCTGGGTAAATACACACATGTATGTCACTGTGACCTTTGACAGGCTAATAAGAACTATACACAAAACACTAAGGATGAAAAAACAGACTGCCCAGTGAGGGGAGGTACATCTACAGAGCTCCCATTAAAACTAACAGAAGATAAGCAGCTAACTACACCCATGCCTTTCACAGAATGCATCAGATCTTCTTGTTGTTAATAACCATCAACAGAGGTAGCCTGTAGTCTTGAAGAAACATCTCTTGGTTTATTACCAGCCTTGGACAAAGATGTCATGTTCAAACTCAAAGGTGTGCACTTTTTTGCCATGTTTCCATTGGAATAAGCACAATAGCATCACACTCCATATCAAGCCTGGATGCTCTCTAAAATTGTCTGAAATGGACTGTATAGCCATGAGAAAAGTCATTTAGAGCAAATATCGAAGGAAAAATAAGCAGATTACAGTATTGTCATGGTGACATGAAGCAGCTGTTCTACATTCTACATATACCCACTTACAATGACACTTATTCTCACTTTTGTGATAAAAATCACACCTCTAATAAGTAAGAGATCAAACTGCTCTAATTTTTTATTCTGCTTCTCATAATTGCAGTATCTGAGTATCTTCTACTTGAAATTAACATGAATATTCAAACCAGCAACAAACTGCATGTGTTTTAAAGCCTGAAGAGAGGTAAAAAATTTCTTCCTTATATCTAGTCTAAATCTGCCCTCTTTCAGTTTAAAAACATTACCTCTTGTCCCATCACAACAAGACCTGCTAAAAAGTCTGTGCCCATCTTTCTTATAGGCCCCCTTTCAGTACTGGCAGGCTGCAATAAGGTCTCCCCGGAGCCTTCTCTTCTCCAGGCTGAACAACCCCAACTCTCTCAGCCTGTCCTCACAGCAGAGGTGTTCCATCATTTGAATTAAAGATGCAAAGTCTTCTGCACAATTTATACTTAGAGGCACTTCTGCTTTATCTTAGATGGCATTTCTTTGCTCCTTGTCCCCCTTTATGTGACTATGTACACTTATAAAAGACATTTGCATTAAGAGTGCATTTCTTCCTGTTCCTTTGTCCCCACACGTGAACTCCTAGTTTCTATGCTCTTGAGTATTTAAGTAAGTCTTTACTCCTGATTTGAAAGAAAAGTCTGAGTGCAAGTGGTGAAAATAAGCAGCAGGAACAGATGTGCTTTTATGAAACAAGAATGGCAATCCCAAGCCAATGTTTTCTCGAAATAAAAGGGACAGAACTTTCTATATAAAATACGGGACACTTATTATACTATATCTAATGTTCTCCATGCTGTGTTTACCTGGCTGGCTGTGAGAATGTATTAAGAAAACTTTATTTTCATCACAAAATCTTTTTCCTCTTAAATTGTCTTTCAGGCATGAAACTATTTAAACTGGACACACTTAATACTTCAGATATTTTTTTCCCCTCCATGGAACCCTTACATATATTTTTCTGTGATTCATTTTTATCCTAAAACACATGCTAATAATTAAATACAAAACCTTCCCCAAACATGCTAGTTGCTTACTGCTAAAAGACTTTGGTTTATTTCTGCTCCTTCCATTTTTGTTTGTCGATCTGAGTCTCTAGCATCAGCTGCTCTTTCACTGCCAGCCAAGTCAATGAATGATATCCTAGAAAAAACAAAGTTGCATTTATCCTAGGGGCTTTTTCTTATTATTTTCCTTTTTTTTTTCAAACCAGAGGGCTGCAACAGATGGCATCAGAAGAATGATTAGAAACAACTACTTTTGAACAAAGAGAAATACCCACTGGAAATATCTGAGGCACCAAAATAAGCATAGCAGCAGGAACAGTGTCAGAGCATCCTGACACTAACACAGTCATAAAAGAAGGTGTAATTGCATGGGATGAGGGTGCTCCACAGTTTAATGGATAAGCTGTTTAAAGTGCAACACATTAACCTCTCCAGATATCACTCTGCTTGTACCTTCCTAAGAACACTGCTTAAGATACAGTAAATGTCTTGATTCTTCTTCCAGGTAAAACAGACAATGGCCCTGCCAAATGGGAATTCAGGGAAATAGGAACAGAAATTTCCAGTGTAGTAAGAAATACGCAGAGCTTTCAGCGTTCCTTTTCCCTTCCTTCGACAAACTCCATTACTCTCTCATGTTCCCTAGCTGTGGGTGCTAGCTGCTGTACTGACTGTTGCACTGCATCTTTGTCTTTGCCCTTCTTTTTCTGGAATAGCCCTGGCTTCTCTTATACGCATATCCTGTGATCCCTTCCCCACTCCAGCTCCACCTCGCTTTCAGTAACAAAAAAAAAATGACATATGCCACACCTACATAACCACATACACTTATATTTCTAAGCCTCCTGTTCTGCCTCTTCCTCTCTCCACCATTTGCAACTCTTCCTTTTTGCCTTGTATTTAAAATAAGATTCTGGGAAAAAAGACTGCCTGGTAGCTGCTGGAAGGGTGTGTCATCATGTTTTTTTGACACTCAGCAGTAATACATATGCCAAGACCTCTTTCCTCAGACCTATTTCTTGGGGTTGTTTAGTCTGGAGAAAAGATGACTGAGAAGAGGCACAATTACTGTCTTCAAATACATAAAACGGCTGCTACAAGAGGAAGTAAGGTGCTCTTTTTGTTTGCTGAAGATAGCATCAGAGTCACACTCTCAAATTGTCAGGGAGGTTTAGGTGAGGTAGGATGATTCCTCTGACCAAAAGCAAACATCTCTAAAAGAATAATCTCCACCTGAGCTAGTCATCCCAGGCTCCCTTTGTAGTCAATTACAGGACAGAGGTCCTTTGAGGGGCAAATCCATCTGACCTAATTTAGGTGACTCTGCAGAATGGTGTGAATTGGATCCCAGAAATGACTATTTCTTCTGACTTCAAAGGGGACAAGCTCACATGTGGATAAGCCCATTTCAGACATCTACCTTTAACCAGATTAATGCCAGACAGGAAAAGGTCTCTAACACTGAAGATGAAGGGATGGATTTGATTGCCAGACTCCTTCACTGGACATTTTTACAAACAAGTTTGACAAAGTTCTCACAGATGTGGCTGAAATGCTCTCCCTGAGAACAGAGGAAGGACTGTGAAACTTCTCAAAATCTCTTTGAAGCCTGTCTTCTGGTGTAACTCACAGCTGTCCACTAACTCAACACCTCCTCTTCGTTTACCTCCTGGATGTCCCCTGGCTTGACTTCCTCATCAGGCCTGAGCAGTCCCGCTTCTAGTCTTACCTTCCAAATGTCCTGTTGGCTGTGTCTTTAATTTGGATTTGGATGATAGCATGGGATCGAGAGGAATCTGAGTTGACTCCCGTAGCTCCTGTGCTACGTTCTTTCCCCCCCTTCAAAATCACCTGCAAAATAAGGGGAACAAAATCCAACCAAATAGTAAATAAAAGCACAATCTCTCAGAAATCACAGAAATCACAGAAACACT